CTCTCCCTGTGCTTCCCTCTCCCTGTGCTTCCCTCTCCCTGTGCTTCACTCTCCCTGTGCTTCCCTCTCCCTGTGCTTCACTCTCCCTGTGATTCCCTCTCCCTGTGCTTCACTCTCACTGTGCTTCCCTCTCCCTGTGCTTCCCTCTCCCTGTGCTTCCCTCTCCCTGTGCTTCCCTCTCCCTGTGCTTCCCTTTCCCTGTGCTTCCCTCTCCCTGTGCTTCACTCTCCCTGTGCTTCCCTCTCCCTGTGCTTCCCTCTCCCTGTGCTTCCCTCTCCCTGTGCTTCCCTCTCCCTGTGCTTCACTCTCCCTGTGCTTCCCTCTCCCTGTGCTTCACTCTCCCTGTGCTTCACTCTCCCTGTGCTTCCCTCTCCCTGTGCTTCACTCTCCCTGTGCTTCCCTCTCCCTGTGCTTCCCTCTCCTGTGCTTCACTCTCCCTGTGCTTCCCTCTCCCTGTGCTTCCCTCTCCCTGTGCTTCCCTCTCCCTGTGCTTCCCTCTCCCTGTGCTTCCCTCTCCCTGTGCTTCCCTCTCCCTGTGCTTCCCTCTCCCTGTGCTTCCATCTCCCTGTGCTTCCATCTCCCTGTGCTTCCCTCTCCCTGTGCTTCCCTCTCCCTGTGCTTCCCTCTCCCTGTGCTTCCCTCTCCCTGTGCTTCCCTCTCCCTGTGCTTCCCTCTCCCTGTGCTTCCCTCTCCCTGTGCTTCCCTCTCCCTGTGCTTCCCTCTCCCTGTGCTTCCCTCTCCCTGTGCTTCCCTCTCCCTGTGCTTCCCTCTCCCTGTGCTTCCCTCTCCCTGTGCTTCACTCTCCCTGTGCTTCCCTCTCCCTGTGCTTCACTCTCCCTGTGCTTCCCTCTCCCTGTGCTTCACTCTCCCTGTGCTTCACTCTCCCTGTGCTTCCCTCTCCCTGTGCTTCACTCTCCCTGTGCTTCCCTCTCCCTGTGCTTCCCTCTCCCTGTGCTTCCCTCTCCCTGTGCTTCCCTCTCCCTGTGCTTCACTCTCCCTGTGCTTCCCTCTCCCTGTGCTTCCCTCTCCCTGTGCTTCCCTCTCCCTGTGCTTCCATCTCCCTGTGCTTCCCTCTCCCTGTGCTTCCCTCTCCCTGTGCTTCCCTCTCCCTGTGCTTCCCTCTCCCTGTGCTTCCCTCTCCCTGTGCTTCCCTCTCCCTGTGCTTCCCTCTCCCTGTGCTTCCCTCTCCCTGTGCTTCCCTCTCCCTGTGCTTCCCTCTCCCTGTGCTTCCCTCTCCCTGTGCTTCACTCTCCCTGTGCTTCCCTCTCCCTGTGCTTCACTCTCCCTGTGCTTCCCTCTCCCTGTGCTTCCCTCTCCCTGTGCTTCCCTCTCCCTGTGCTTCCCTCTCCCTGTGCTTCACTCTCCCTGTGCTTCCCTCTCCCTGTGCTTCACTCTCCCTGTGCTTCCCTCTCCCTGTGCTTCACTCTCCCTGTGCTTCACTCTCCCTGTGCTTCCCTCTCCCTGTGCTTCACTCTCCCTGTGCTTCCCTCTCCCTGTGCTTCCCTCTCCCTGTGCTTCCCTCTCCCTGTGCTTCCCTCTCCCTGTGCTTCCCTCTCCCTGTGCTTCCCTCTCCCTGTGCTTCCCTCTCCCTGTGCTTCCCTCTCCCTGTGCTTCCCTCTCCCTGTGCTTCCCTCTCCCTGTGCTTCCCTCTCCCTGTGCTTCCCTCTCCCTGTGCTTCCCTCTCCCTGTGCTTCACTCTCCCTGTGCTTCCCTCTCCCTGTGCTTCACTCTCCCTGTGCTTCCCTCTCCCTGTGCTTCCCTCTCCCTGTGCTTCCCTTTCCCTGTGCTTCCCTCTCCCTGTGCTTCACTCTCCCTGTGCTTCCCTCTCCCTGTGCTTCACTCTCCCTGTGCTTCCCTCTCCCTGTGCTTCACTCTCCCTGTGCTTCCCTCTCCCTGTGCTTCCCTCTCCCTGTGCTTCCCTCTCCCTGTGCTTCACTCTCCCTGTGCTTCCCTCTCCCTGTGCTTCCCTCTCCCTGTGCTTCCCTCTCCCTGTGCTTCCTCTCCCTGTGCTTCCCTCTCCCTGTGCTTCCTCTCCCTGTGCTTCCCTCTCCCTGTGCTTCCATCTCCCTGTGCTTCCATCTCCCTGTGCTTCCCTCTCCCTGTGCTTCCCTCTCCCTGTGCTTCCCTCTCCCTGTGCTTCCCTCTCCCTGTGCTTCCCTCTCCCTGTGCTTCCCTCTCCCTGTGCTTCCCTCTCCCTGTGCTTCCCTCTCCCTGTGCTTCCCTCTCCCTGTGCTTCCCTCTCCCTGTGCTTCCCTCTCCCTGTGCTTCCCTCTCCCTGTGCTTCCCTCTCCCTGTGCTTCACTCTCCCTGTGCTTCCCTCTCCCTGTGCTTCACTCTCCCTGTGCTTCCCTCTCCCTGTGCTTCCCTCTCCCTGTGCTTCCCTCTCCCTGTGCTTCCCTCTCCCTGTGCTTCACTCTCCCTGTGCTTCCCTCTCCCTGTGCTTCCCTCTCCCTGTGCTTCCCTCTCCCTGTGCTTCCCTCTCCCTGTGCTTCACTCTCCCTGTGCTTCCCTCTCCCTGTGCTTCACTCTCCCTGTGCTTCACTCTCCCTGTGCTTCCCTCTCCCTGTGCTTCACTCTCCCTGTGCTTCCCTCTCCCTGTGCTTCCCTCTCCCTGTGCTTCACTCTCCCTGTGCTTCCCTCTCCCTGTGCTTCCCTCTCCCTGTGCTTCCCTCTCCCTGTGCTTCACTCTCCCTGTGCTTCCCTCTCCCTGTGCTTCCCTCTCCCTGTGCTTCCCTCTCCCTGTGCTTCCATCTCCCTGTGCTTCCATCTCCCTGTGCTTCCCTCTCCCTGTGCTTCCCTCTCCCTGTGCTTCCCTCTCCCTGTGCTTCCCTCTCCCTGTGCTTCCCTCTCCCTGTGCTTCCCTCTCCCTGTGCTTCCCTCTCCCTGTGCTTCCCTCTCCCTGTGCTTCCCTCTCCCTGTGCTTCCCTCTCCCTGTGCTTCCCTCTCCCTGTGCTTCCCTCTCCCTGTGCTTCCCTCTCCCTGTGCTTCACTCTCCCTGTGCTTCCCTCTCCCTGTGCTTCACTCTCCCTGTGCTTCCCTCTCCCTGTGCTTCACTCTCCCTGTGCTTCACTCTCCCTGTGCTTCCCTCTCCCTGTGCTTCACTCTCCCTGTGCTTCCCTCTCCCTGTGCTTCCCTCTCCCTGTGCTTCCCTCTCCCTGTGCTTCCCTCTCCCTGTGCTTCACTCTCCCTGTGCTTCCCTCTCCCTGTGCTTCCCTCTCCCTGTGCTTCCCTCTCCCTGTGCTTCCATCTCCCTGTGCTTCCCTCTCCCTGTGCTTCCCTCTCCCTGTGCTTCCCTCTCCCTGTGCTTCCCTCTCCCTGTGCTTCCCTCTCCCTGTGCTTCCCTCTCCCTGTGCTTCCCTCTCCCTGTGCTTCCCTCTCCCTGTGCTTCCCTCTCCCTGTGCTTCCCTCTCCCTGTGCTTCCCTCTCCCTGTGCTTCACTCTCCCTGTGCTTCCCTCTCCCTGTGCTTCACTCTCCCTGTGCTTCCCTCTCCCTGTGCTTCCCTCTCCCTGTGCTTCCCTCTCCCTGTGCTTCCCTCTCCCTGTGCTTCACTCTCCCTGTGCTTCCCTCTCCCTGTGCTTCACTCTCCCTGTGCTTCCCTCTCCCTGTGCTTCACTCTCCCTGTGCTTCACTCTCCCTGTGCTTCCCTCTCCCTGTGCTTCACTCTCCCTGTGCTTCCCTCTCCCTGTGCTTCCCTCTCCCTGTGCTTCCCTCTCCCTGTGCTTCCCTCTCCCTGTGCTTCACTCTCCCTGTGCTTCCCTCTCCCTGTGCTTCCCTCTCCCTGTGCTTCCCTCTCCCTGTGCTTCCCTCTCCCTGTGCTTCCCTCTCCCTGTGCTTCACTCTCCCTGTGCTTCCCTCTCCCTGTGCTTCCCTCTCCCTGTGCTTCCATCTCCCTGTGCTTCCCTCTCCCTGTGGTTCCCTCTCCCTGTGCTTCCCTCTCCCTGTGCTTCCCTCTCCCTGTGCTTCCCTCTCCCTGTGCTTCCCTCTCACTGTGCTTCCCTCTCCCTGTGCTTCCCTCTCCCTGTGCTTCCCTCTCCCTGTGCTTCCCTCTCCCTGTGCTTCCCTCTCCCTGTGCTTCACTCTCCCTGTGCTTCACTCTCCCTGTGCTTCCCTCTCCCTGTGCTTCACTCTCCCTGTGCTTCCCTCTCCCTGTGCTTCCCTCTCCCTGTGCTTCCCTCTCCCTGTGCTTCCCTCTCCCTGTGCTTCACTCTCCCTGTGCTTCCCTCTCCCTGTGCTTCCCTCTCCCTGTGCTTCCCTCTCCCTGTGCTTCCCTCTCCCTGTGCTTCCCTCTCCCTGTGCTTCACTCTCCCTGTGATTCACTCTCCCTGTGCTTCACTCTCCCTGTGCTTCACTCTCCCTGTGCTTCCCTCTCCCTGTGCTTCACTCTCCCTGTGCTTCCCTCTCCCTGTGCTTCCCTCTCCCTGTGCTTCCCTCTCCCTGTGCTTCCCTCTCCCTGTGCTTCCCTCTCCCTGTGCTTCCCTCTCCCTGTGCTTCCCTCTCCCTGTGCTTCACTCTCCCTGTGCTTCACTCTCCCTGTGCTTCCCTCTCCCTGTGCTTCACTCTCCCTGTGCTTCCCTCTCCCTGTGCTTCCCTCTCCCTGTGCTTCCCTCTCCCTGTGCTTCCCTCTCCCTGTGCTTCCCTCTCCTTGTGCTTCCCTCTCCCTGTGCTTCCCTCTCCCTGTGCTTCACTCTCCCTGTGCTTCCCTCTCCCTGTGCTTCACTCTCCCTGTGCTTCCCTCTCCCTGTGCTTCCCTCCCCCTGTGCTTCACTCTCCCTGTGCTTCCCTCTCCATGTGCTTCGCTCTCCCAGTGCTTCCCTCTCCCTGTGCTTCCCTCTCCCTGTGCTTCCCTCTCCCTGTGCTTCCCTCTCCCTGTGCTTCCCTCTCCCTGTGCTTCCCTCTCCCTGTGCTTCCCTCTCCCTGTGCTTCCCTCTCCCTGTGCTTCACTCTCCCTGTGCTTCCCTCTCCCTGTGCTTCACTCTCCCTGTGCTTCCCTCTCCCTGAGCTTCCCTATTCCTGTGCTTCCCTCTCCCTGTGCTTCCCTCTCCCTGTGCTTCCCTCTCCCTGTGCTTCCCTCTCCCTGTGCTTCACTCTCCCTGTGCTTCCCTCTCCCTGTGCTTCCCTCTCCCTGTGATTCACTCTCCCTGTGCTTCCCTCTCCCTGTGCTTCCCTCTCCCTGTGCTTCCCTCTCCCTGTGCTTCCCTCTCCCTGTGCTTCCCTCTCCCTGTGCTTCCCTCTCCCTGTGCTTCACTCTCCCTGTGCTTCCCTCTCCCTGTGCTTCACTCTCCCTGTGATTCCCTCTCCCTGTGCTTCACTCTCACTGTGCTTCCCTCTCCCTGTGCTTCCCTCTCCCTGTGCTTCCCTCTCCCTGTGCTTCCCTCTCCCTGTGCTTCCCTTTCCCTGTGCTTCCCTCTCCCTGTGCTTCACTCTCCCTGTGCTTCCCTCTCCCTGTGCTTCCCTCTCCCTGTGCTTCCCTCTCCCTGTGCTTCCCTCTCCCTGTGCTTCCCTCTCCCTGTGCTTCCCTCTCCCTGTGCTTCACTCTCCCTGTGCTTCCCTCTCCCTGTGCTTCACTCTCCCTGTGCTTCCCTCTCCCTGTGCTTCCCTCTCCCTGTGCTTCCCTCTCCCTGTGATTCCCTCTCCCTGTGCTTCCCTCTCCCTGTGCTTCACTCTCCCTGTGATTCCCTCTCCCTGTGCTTCACTCTCACTGTGCTTCCCTCTCCCTGTGCTTCCCTCTCCCTGTGCTTCCCTCTCCCTGTGCTTCCCTCTCCCTGTGCTTCCCTTTCCCTGTGCTTCCCTCTCCCTGTGCTTCACTCTCCCTGTGCTTCCCTCTCCCTGTGCTTCCCTCTCCCTGTGCTTCCCTCTCCCTGTGCTTCCTCTCCCTGTGCTTCCCTCTCCCTGTGCTTCCCTCTCCCTGTGCTTCCCTCTCCCTGTGCTTCCCTCTCCCTGTGCTTCCCTCTCCCTGTGCTTCCCTCTCCCTGTGCTTCCCTCTCCCTGTGCTTCCCTCTCCCTGTGCTTCACTCTCCCTGTGCTTCCCTCTCCCTGTGCTTCACTCTCCCTGTGCTTCCCTCTCCCTGTGCTTCCCTCTCCCTGTGCTTCCCTCTCCCTGTGCTTCACTCTCCCTGTGCTTCCCTCTCCCTGTGCTTCCCTCTCCCTGTGCTTCCCTCTCCCTGTGCTTCCATCTCCCTGTGCTTCCCTCTCCCTGTGCTTCCCTCTCCCTGTGCTTCCCTCTCCCTGTGCTTCCCTCTCCCTGTGCTTCCCTCTCCCTGTGCTTCCCTCTCCCTGTGCTTCCCTCTCCCTGTGCTTCCCTCTCCCTGTGCTTCCCTCTCCCTGTGCTTCCCTCTCCCTGTGCTTCCCTCTCCCTGTGCTTCACTCTCCCTGTGCTTCCCTCTCCCTGTGCTTCACTCTCCCTGTGCTTCCCTCTCCCTGTGCTTCCCTCTCCCTGTGCTTCCCTCTCCCTGTGCTTCCCTCTCCCTGTGCTTCCCTCTCCCTGTGCTTCCATCTCCCTGTGCTTCCCTCTCCCTGTGCTTCCCTCTCCCTGTGCTTCCCTCTCCCTGTGCTTCCCTCTCCCTGTGCTTCCCTCTCCCTGTGCTTCCCTCTCACTGTGCTTCCCTCTCCCTGTGCTTCCCTCTCCCTGTGCTTCCCTCTCCCTGTGCTTCCCTCTCCCTGTGCTTCCCTCTCCCTGTGCTTCACTCTCCCTGTGCTTCACTCTCCCTGTGCTTCCCTCTCCCTGTGCTTCACTCTCCCTGTGCTTCCCTCTCCCTGTGCTTCCCTCTCCCTGTGCTTCCCTCTCCCTGTGCTTCCCTCTCCCTGTGCTTCACTCTCCCTGTGCTTCCCTCTCCCTGTGCTTCCCTCTCCCTGTGCTTCCCTCTCCCTGTGCTTCCCTCTCCCTGTGCTTCCCTCTCCCTGTGCTTCACTCTCCCTGTGCTTCACTCTCCCTGTGCTTCCCTCTCCCTGTGCTTCACTCTCCCTGTGCTTCCCTCTCCCTGTGCTTCCCTCTCCCTGTGCTTCCCTCTCCCTGTGCTTCCCTCTCCCTGTGCTTCACTCTCCCTGTGCTTCACTCTCCCTGTGCTTCCCTCTCCCTGTGCTTCACTCTCCCTGTGCTTCCCTCTCCCTGTGCTTCCCTCTCCCTGTGCTTCCCTCTCCCTGTGATTCCCTCTCCCTGTGCTTCCCTCTCCCTGTGCTTCACTCTCCCTGTGCTTCCCTCTCCCTGTGCTTCCCTCTCCCTGTGCTTCCCTCTCCCTGTGCTTCCCTCTCCCTGTGCTTCCCTCTCCCTGTGCTTCCCTCTCCCTGTGCTTCACTCTCCCTGTGCTTCCCTCTCCCTGTGCTTCACTCTCCCTGTGATTCCCTCTCCCTGTGCTTCACTCTCACTGTGCTTCCCTCTCCCTGTGCTTCCCTCTCCCTGTGCTTCCCTCTCCCTGTGCTTCCCTCTCCCTGTGCTTCCCTCTCCCTGTGCTTCCCTCTCCCTGTGCTTCACTCTCCCTGTGCTTCCCTCTCCCTGTGCTTCCCTCTCCCTGTGCTTCCCTCTCCCTGTGCTTCCCTCTCCCTGTGCTTCACTCTCCCTGTGCTTCCCTCTCCCTGTGCTTCCCTCTCCCTGTGCTTCCCTCTCCCTGTGCTTCCCTCTCCCTGTGCTTCCCTCTCCCTGTGCTTCACTCTCCCTGTGCTTCCCTCTCCCTGTGCTTCCCTCTCCCTGTGCTTCCATCTCCCTGTGCTTCCCTCTCCCTGTGGTTCCCTCTCCCTGTGCTTCCCTCTCCCTGTGCTTCCCTCTCCCTGTGCTTCCCTCTCCCTGTGCTTCCCTCTCACTGTGCTTCCCTCTCCCTGTGCTTCCCTCTCCCTGTGCTTCCCTCTCCCTGTGCTTCCCTCTCCCTGTGCTTCCCTCTCCCTGTGCTTCACTCTCCCTGTGCTTCACTCTCCCTGTGCTTCCCTCTCCCTGTGCTTCACTCTCCCTGTGCTTCCCTCTCCCTGTGCTTCCCTCTCCCTGTGCTTCCCTCTCCCTGTGCTTCCCTCTCCCTGTGCTTCACTCTCCCTGTGCTTCCCTCTCCCTGTGCTTCCCTCTCCCTGTGCTTCCCTCTCCCTGTGCTTCCCTCTCCCTGTGCTTCCCTCTCCCTGTGCTTCACTCTCCCTGTGATTCACTCTCCCTGTGCTTCACTCTCCCTGTGCTTCACTCTCCCTGTGCTTCCCTCTCCCCGTGCTTCACTCTCCCTGTGCTTCCCTCTCCCTGTGCTTCCCTCTCCCTGTGCTTCCCTCTCCCTGTGCTTCCCTCTCCCTGTGCTTCCCTCTCCCTGTGCTTCCCTCTCCCTGTGCTTCCCTCTCCCTGTGCTTCACTCTCCCTGTGCTTCACTCTCCCTGTGCTTCCCTCTCTCTGTGCTTCACTCTCCCTGTGCTTCCCTCTCCCTGTGCTTCCCTCTCCCTGTGCTTCCCTCTCCCTGTGCTTCCCTCTCCCTGTGCTTCCCTCTCCTTGTGCTTCCCTCTCCCTGTGCTTCCCTCTCCCTGTGCTTCACTCTCCCTGTGCTTCCCTCTCCCTGTGCTTCACTCTCCCTGTGCTTCCCTCTCCCTGTGCTTCCCTCCCCCTGTGCTTCACTCTCCCTGTGCTTCCCTCTCCATGTGCTTCGCTCTCCCAGTGCTTCCCTCTCCCTGTGCTTCCCTCTCCCTGTGCTTCCCTCTCCCTGTGCTTCCCTCTCCCTGTGCTTCCCTCTCCCTGTGCTTCCCTCTCCCTGTGCTTCCCTCTCCCTGTGCTTCCCTCTCCCTGTGCTTCACTCTCCCTGTGCTTCCCTCTCCCTGTGCTTCACTCTCCCTGTGCTTCCCTCTCCCTGAGCTTCCCTATTCCTGTGCTTCCCTCTCCCTGTGCTTCCCTCTCCCTGTGCTTCCCTCTCCCTGTGCTTCCCTCTCCCTGTGCTTCACTCTCCCTGTGCTTCCCTCTCCCTGTGCTTCCCTCTCCCTGTGATTCACTCTCCCTGTGCTTCCCTCTCCCTGTGCTTCCCTCTCCCTGTGCTTCCCTCTCCCTGTGCTTCCCTCTCCCTGTGCTTCACTCTCCCTGTGCTTCCCTCTCCCTGTGCTTCACTCTCCCTGTGCTTCCCTCTCCCTGAGCTTCCCTATTCCTGTGCTTCCCTCTCCCTGTGCTTCCCTCTCCCTGTGATTCCCTCTCCCTGTGCTTCCCTCTCCCTGTGATTCACTCTCCCTGTGCTTCCCTCTCCCTGTGCTTCCCTCTCCCTGTGCTTCCCTCTCCCTGTGCTTCACTCTCCCTGTGCTTCCCTCTCCCTGTGCTTCCCTCTCCCTGTGCTTCCCTCTCTCTGTGCTTCCCTCTCCCTGTGCTTCCCTCTCCCTGTGCTTCCCTCTCCCTGTGCTTCCCTCTCCCTGTGCTTCCCTCTCCCTGTGCTTCCCTCTCCCTGTGCTTCCCTCTCCCTGTGCTTTCCTCTCCCTATGCTTCCCTCTCCCTGTGCTTCCCTCTCCCTGTGCTTCCCTCTCCCTGTGCTTCCCTCTCCCTGTGCTTCCCTCTCCCTGTGCTTCCCTCTCCCTGTGCTTCCCTCTCCCTGTGCTTCACTCTCCCTGTGCTTCCCTCTCCCTGTGCTTCACTCTCCCTGTGATTCCCTCTCCCTGTGCTTCCCTCTCCCTGTGCTTCCCTCTCCCTGTGCTTCACTCTCCCTGTGCTTCACTCTCCCTGTGCTTCCCTCTCCCTGTGCTTCCCTCTCCCTGTGCTTCCCTCTCCCTGTGCTTCCCTCTCCCTGTGCTTTCCTCTCCCTATGCTTCCCTCTCCCTGTGCTTCACTCTCCCTGTGCTTCCCTCTCCCTGTGCTTCCCTCTCCCTGTGCTTCCCTCTCCCTGTGCTTCCCTCTCCCTGTGCTTCCCTCTCCCTGTGCTTCACTCTCCCTGTGCTTCCCTCTCCCTGTGCTTCACTCTCCCTGTGCTTCCCTCTCCCTGTGCTTCACTCTCCCTGTGCTTCCCTCTCCCTGTGCTTCCCTCTCCCTGTGCTTCCCTCTCCCTGTGCTTCCCTCTCCCTGTGCTTCCCTCTCCCTGTGCTTCCCTCTCCCTGTGCTTCCCTCTCCCTGTGCTTCACTCTCCCTGTGATTCCTTTTCCCTGTGCTTCCCTCTCCCTGTGCTTCCCTCTCCCTGTGCTTCCCTCTCCCTGTGCTTCCCTCTCCCTGTGCTTCCCTCTCCCTGTGCTTCCCTTTCCCTGTGCTTCCCTCTCCCTGTGCTTCACTCTCCCTGTGCTTCCCTCTCCCTGTGCTTCCCTCTCCCTATGCTTCCCTCTCCCTGTGCTTCCCTCTCCCTGTGCTTCCCTCTCCCTGTGCTTCCCTCTCCCTGTGCTTCCCTCTCCCTGTGCTTCCCTCTCCCTGTGCTCCCCTCTCCCTGTGCTTCACTCTCCCTGTGCTTCCCTCTCCCTGTGCTTCACTCTCACTGTGCTTCCCTCTCCCTGTGCTTCCCTCTCCCTGTGCTTCCCTCTCTCTGTGCTTCCCTCTCCCTGTGCTTCCCTTTCCCTGTGCTTCCCTCTCCCTGTGCTTCACTCTCCCTGTGCTTCCCTCTCCCTGTGCTTCCCTCTCCCTATGCTTCCCTCTCCCTGTGCTTCCCTCTCCCTGTGCTTCCCTCTCCCTGTGCTTCACTCTCCCTGTGCTTCCCTCTCCCTGTGCTTCCTCTCCCTGTGCTTCCCTCTCCCTGTGCTTCCCTCTCCCTGTGCTTCCCTCTCCCTGTGCTTCCCTCTCCCTGTGCTTCCCTCTCCCTGTGCTTCCCTCTCCCTGTGCTTCCCTCTCCCTGTGCTTCCCTCTCCCTGTGCTTCCCTCTCCCTGTGCTTCCCTCTCCCTGTGCTTCCCTCTCCCTGTGCTTCCCTCTCCCTGTGCTTCCCTCTCCCTGTGATTCCCTCTCCCTGTGCTTCCCTCTCCCTGTGCTTCCCTCTCCCTGTGCTTCCCTCTCCCTGTGCTTCACTCTCCCTGTGCTTCACTCTCCCTGTGCTTCCCTCTCCCTGTGCTTCACTCTCCCTGTGCTTCCCTCTCCCTGTGCTTCCCTCTCCCTGTGCTTCCCTCTCCCTGTTCTTCCTCTCCCTGTGCTTCACTCTCCCTGTGCTTCCCTCTCCCTGTGCTTCCCTCTCCCTGTGCTTCCCTCTCTCTGTGCTTCACTCTCCCTGTGCTTCACTCTCCCTGTGCTTCACTCTCCCTGTGCTTCCCTCTCCCTGTGCTTCCCTCTCCCTGTGCTTCCCTCTCCCTGTGCTTCCCTCTCCCTGTGCTTCCCTCTCCCTGTGCTTCCCTCTCCCTGTGCTTCCCTCTCCCTGTGCTTCACTCTCCCTGTGCTTCCCTCTCCCTGTGCTTCACTCTCCCTGTGCTTCACTCTCCCTGTGCTTCCCTCTCCCTGTGCTTCACTCTCCCTGTGCTTCCCTCTCCCTGTGCTTCCCTCTCCCTGTGCTTCACTCTCCCTGTGCTTCCCTCTCCCTGTGCTTCACTCTCCCTGTGCTTCACTCTCCCTGTGCTTCCCTCTCCCTGTGCTTCACTCTCCCTGTGCTTCCCTCTCCCTGTGCTTCCCTCTCCCTGTGCTTCCCTCTCCCTGTGCTTCCCTCTCCCTGTGCTTCCCTCTCCCTGTGCTTCCCTCTCCCTGTGCTTCCCTCTCCCTGTGCTTCACTCTCCCTGTGCTTCCCTCTCCCTGTGCTTCACTCTCCCTGTGCTTCACTCTCCCTGTGCTTCCCTCTCCCTGTGCTTCCCTCTCCCTGTGCTTCACTCTCCCTGTGCTTCCCTCTCCCTGTGCTTCCCTCTCCCTGTGCTTCACTCTCCCTGTGCTTCCCTCTCCCTGTGCTTCCCTCTCCCTGTGCTTCCCTCTCCCTGTGCTTCCCTCTCCCTCTGCTTCCCTCTCCCTGTGCTTCCCTCTCTCTGTGCTTCCCTCTCCCTGTGCTTCCCTCTCCCTGTGCTTCCCTCTCCCTGTGCTTCCCTCTCCCTGTGCTTCCCTCTCCCTGTGCTTCCCTCTCCCTGTGCTTCCCTCTCCATGTGCTTCCCTCTCCCTGTGCTTCACTCTCCCTGTGCTTCCCTCTCCCTGTGCTTCCCTCTCCCTGTGCTTCCCTCTCTCTGTGCTTCCCTCTCCCTGTGCTTCCCTCTCCCTCTGCTTCCCTCTCCCTGTGCTTCCCTCTCCCTGTGCTTCCCTCTCCCTGTGCTTCACTCTCCCTGTGCTTCCCTCTCC